GGGTCATAGATATGTGGAATATTAGAGTGAGGAGTGCTTCAAAAAGGACAATATGGGCTATCCCTTTATTTTAGAAATGAGGATGTTGAGGCAGACGGAGACCAACACCTTATGTAAGGACAGATTTTGGTTTGGCTGAGACAGGACTAGAACCCAGGACCTAGGCCTCCTGCCTCCTAGACCAGAGTTCTTCACTTCTTCTGTGAATATGAGAACTGTTTTCTAAATTTCCTGGTAATCCAAGGGTGGTTATATATCTATTCTCCCTCTGTTTCCATTTCTCTGTGTTTTAGCTCATGTTCACACACTCTCTGTTTCAAGTGCTCCTCCCGATTGTGTTTGAGTTCACAACAAGATGGCAGGTTGATCATAGACAAAGGGGCTTAGAGAATTCAGCAGAAGGATCCTCAGGGTACAGGGGATACAGCTGAATACAGTCTTGCATCAACTCTGATAGGGAAAGTTGTGCATCATTACACATTAGATTTGTAACTGTAAAGATAAGATTTTACAGTTGAATCATATCAGGAATGCTTTCTACTTAAAGACCACCACAATCACCCTTTGCCTTATTCATTCCATTTCTAGGAATTTATCTGGCAAAGATGTGTGCATAGAAATGTTTTTAAAACATTGTATGCAATAGCAAGAGACTACAAACCACCTAAATACCTACTGATGGGGGGTGGTTATGAAAACTGTGGTGTGTTCATGCAGTGGAGTACACAGACCCATGAAACATAACATGGCGGATCTTATGGGTTGGTACAGTGCGACCTACAAGATCTATTAAGTGAAAATATAAGGTATGTGCCTGTCTTGGTTTGAAATCAGAACCTTAGAAAAAGATCTGGGTGAAGGTGGTTTATGTGGAAAGTGACCCCAGGAAAAATGAATGGCGAGTGAACAGAGCGAGACAGAAAATTCAAATGAAGGGTATGTTTGTGAGTTATTGCTATATCTAAGGGAAGCCCAAGCAAGTCCAGACTTTTGAAAAACACACACTGTCTGTCTCCCAGAATTGTCCCTCTGTTGGTAAAATGGAAGGCTGGGCATTTATTAATGAACTCCACCCCGCATTGGTTAAGGGTGTCCCAGAGACTTAACTGCCTCTTACTTCTGGCTGCATTTGATTTTGGAGAAAGCCCTAGAGTTCAGGGTGGGGCTTTGTCAGTGTGCTGGAAAGGGACTGTCCAGGGGAGTTGCAGCAGAAATCCCGGGTGGTGTGATAAGATGGGATGCTAGGCACCAAAAGTATCTGTATAATATAAAAAATGTCTACTTGCCTTTAAACAGAGTATGTGTGTGTGTGTGTGTGTGTGTGTGTGTGTGTGTGTGAGTGTATACTTACATACAGATCCATACGTGAATACCAGTATGCAGATGTATGCACATGGACAATTTTCCAATAAACATAAAATCCCTGGGAACAGAGGTTACCTTGGGGTAGAGAGCTGGGATTTTTGCAGGTCTGGCCATTTGGTATGGCAGAGGACTGGTTTTTCCATATTTAACTTTTTGTGCTAGTTGCTGTTTTTTGACCTCATGAATGTATTTCTTTAACAATATTTTAATTAATTTTACTGAGGCATAACATATATAATAAAGTGCACTCATTTTAGGTGTGCAGTGTAATGAGTTTCAACAAACACACACTGAAATAAGCACACTTACAGTCCAGAAATGTAACGTTTCCACCCAGTTCCCTGTCGGCCAGTTGTAGTCAATTCCCTCCTCTTGGTCCCGGTGAGCACTGCTCTGCTTTACATCATCTTCACTTACATTTGTCTTTCCCAGAGTTCCTATAAAAGGAACCAAACACTATATACTTTCTTGTGTCTGGCTTATTTTGCTCCGCATAATGTTTCTGTGAATGATCCATTGCATATATTTCTATCAATAGCTTGCTCCTTTTTACTGCTGAATTTCTTTTGTAGGAATGTAATACATTTTGCTTCTTATTCACTTTTCAGTGGACTTATGGATTGTGTCTGGTTTTGAGTTATTGTGAATGAAAGTTATGAAAAAGTCATGAACACTTACAATAAGTCTTTGTGCAGGCATATGTTTTCATTTTTCTCATATAAATACCTAGGGGATTGCTCAGTCATGTAGTAATGGAATATTTCACATTATAAGAAATTGCCAGATTTTTCCAAAGAGCTATATTATTTTCATTTCTACTAGCAAAGTACGAGAATTCCGGTTGTTCCACAATCTTGCCAACACTTGGTATTGTTTTTCTTTTTAAGTTTAGCTCTTCTAGTGGGTGGCAGTAGTTCCTCACGGTTTTGATTCACATTTCTCCGATGATAATGATGTCGAGCACATTTTCATTTGCACACTTGCCATTTATATTTCCTCTTTTGTGAAGTGCCTGTTCGAAATTTTTCCTATGCTTAATTAAGTTAATATCCTATAATTGAGCTATGAGAGTTCTTTATATATTCCAGGTATAAGCCTTTTGCATGCTATATGTATGCGATACATATTTTTTATGGCTTGCCCTTTCTTTCCTTTCTAATGCCACCTTTCAAAGACTAGGAAGGCTTAATTTTGATATAGTCCAATTTGTCAAATTTTTCTTCCTAGAATATATGCTTTATGCGTACTAAGAGCTCTTTGCCTGTACCATGGTCATAACATTTTCTCCTGTGTTTTCACTTAGAAGTTTTTAGTTCAGCATTTACAGATTAAGCTAATGAACAATTTTAAGTTATTTTTTATGTATAGTGTAAGGCAATATTCAAAGTTTATTTTATTCCTAGGATATTCAATTGTTCTCATAACATTTGTTGAAAATCCTTTCACATTGGATTCCTTTGGCGTTTTTTGTCAAAAATTAATTGACCATATATGAGTAGGTCTATTTCTGCACTCTTTATTCTGTTCCATTGACCTCTGTGTCTATCTTATGTTAATTGCACACTGTTTTATTATTGGTAGATTTATGGAAAATCTTAAAATAGTTTATCAGGGGTGTCCAACCCTTGACCTGTGGGCCACATGTGGCCTGGGATGGCTATTAATGCAGTCCAACACAAAATTGTAAATTTACTTAAAACATTATGAAACTTTTTTGTGATTACATGTCACAATGTATTTAATGTGTGGCCCAAGACAACTCTTCTTTTTCCAGTGTGGCCCAGAGATGCCAAAAGGTTGGACACCCCTGTTCTTATACTATTTTAGGATGTAGTGCAGGAGGTAGTCTAAATTGACCAACTTTGTTCTCCTTTTTCAAAGTTTTTTTTTTTTTTTGCTATTTTAAGTCCTTAACATTTATCTATAAATTTTATTGCCAGTTTATCAATTTCTATTAAGAAACAACCTGGTGGCATTATGATTGAGGTTATATTGAATACCTATATCTTAACAAAACTGTCTTTCAATCTATAAGCTTTGTACGTATCCTCATTTATTTAGATCTTCTTGAATTTTTTTAGTGACTATTTTATCATTTTCAGTGTAGAGATTTAACATGTTTTGTTAACTTTATCCATAAGTGTTTTACTTGTTTCTGATGTTATTATAAATGGTACTTGTGGTAGCCAGCCTCTACACTGGCTCCCAGTAATCCTTCCCTTCTAATGTTAATGCCTTCATGTAACAGCATGGCCTCTGTCCCAATTCCCATACCCATTTTGTACCAGAGCTGCTCTGCACGGGCAATAGAATATGTCAGAAGTAGAATGTTACTTTTAAGACTAGGTAATAGAAGGCATCACGGCTTCCTCTTTGCTCTCCTTGCATTGCTTGCCTTGAAAGACATGGGAGCCAATCGGTTGCAAATCCAGTATGGCGAAGTACAGTGATCTCCATAAATGAGGAACTGAGGCCTCCACCAGCAAGCCAGGAATGAGTGGTCTTGAAAATGGATCCTCCAGCCCCAGTCAAGCCTTCGGATGACAGCAGCCTTTGTTGACATCTTGACTGCAACATCCTGAGTGACCCTGAGCTGAAGGACCACTCAGTGCAGCTGCTGCCAGATTCCTGACTCTCAGAAATTGTGTGAGATCATGAACTTCTGTTGTTTTAAGTTGGTAATTTTTTGTGCAGCACTTGAGAACTAATACAATATTATTTTTTTAAATTAACAGTATTTATTTTATTTCAATTTCCAATTCTTCAATATCCAAATAGCATATAGAAATTCTATTTTCCTATTTTTCAAATATAGACCTTGTGACCTGTGTCCCTGCTCAAACCAGTGCCTTTGCAGACATCCTAGGATTTTCTGCACAGTCAATCATGACATCTGCGACAAAGACAGTTTTACTTCTTTTCAAATCTTGATGCCTTTTATTTATTCTACTGCCTTATTAAACTAGCTAGGACTTTGAGTATTATGTTGAATAATACTGAAACATTGAATCTCAGTATGTTGAAAATGGTGAGAGCAGGCATTCTGGCCTCGTTCTTGATCTTGAGGGGAAAGCCCTCAGCCTTTCACTGTAAGAACAATATTGGGTGTAGTTTTCCCACAGATGTTATGTATTGGGTTGAGGAAATTTTCTTTTGTTCTTAAGAAATTTTCCCAATTCCTGTTGTTAATACTAGGCTTATAGTTTAGTTATGTTAATGGATAGTTGTTATAGTGAGCCCTACACATATACATAGAGTTACTATATTTAAATTCATATAAAACTATATTTACATGTTTAAGTTACACTTTTGAAATCAGAAGATAAAGCAAAGCTTAAGTTTACAACAAAGAAAAGAAAAGTACCCAGGGCAAAAATAGAGTTAACAGTAAAAATATCACTTTCTGTTGTTCTTGATACAACATGTAGACATTTTTTTGTCAGAAAGCTACAGCTTCTTAATCTGTTCAAAAGATGAACGGTTCAATACCATTTTGCCAGAAACTTGTTTGGCTGGATCATAAACTGACATTTTTGAGAGCAAATCTAAGGTATTTTCAATCAAGTTTTTGCCTTGGGATAGTAGGTTTCCCACTGGTTTCCACTAGGAAATGTATCCTTTTTTTTTTCCTTTTTGCCACTCATTCAGCATTCCCTCCCTCTTACTCTTCCAAACGAAGAGAACAATCATCAGTGGCTATTGGCAGTTGTACAAACAACACCCAAAGCCGTCTTCACATTCAGGAGAGAACACCGTGCCTCCTCCTGTGGTTCAGGTGCTCTACACATTCAGAGAAACTTGCTAGTAACAAACTATAGAAACGATCCCGGACAGTATAGTCTTTTGGAAATATATTCATATAGTCCTGTAAAGATTCTGCTTCTGGCCACACTTTATTACTGAGGGTGCTCAAAACTCTGAAGATCGTGATGAGTTGGTGAACTTCTGAATACCAGTGGGAAAATTGGTTGCGTATGGCTAACTCTGCAAGTATGGCGTCTGTCCTCCAAAGGTCAGTGGGAGTGGAGTAGTGAGCTGACTGGTCCCAACAGCACTGCTAGAGATCTCTCCATACCAGAGTGCTACTGCTTCGCGTATATATCCTCTAATAGGTACTCCAAAAGCTCTGGCAAGGCCAAAGCCAGCCAGTTTAATTGTTCTTTTGTTATCAATAGGTTTTGAGGTGTAAGTCTCTGTAAGGTGTCTTCTAGAGTGACAGAATACAATCCCTTGCACGGTTTGGTTCAAATCACAAGTGGTGAACCCATGAACTGGTCAGAAGGGATAGCATCCAAGTTATTTCTTGAGATCCCAAGTATTCAAAGATGGGATATAACCTGGAATCCTCATAGTGCCTCTTGAAGACTGACTGTGTTTGAATGACAGAGTTCTTCTAACAGAAATTTCCAGAATTACTGCACTAGGAAACATTCCCTCTTTATTTTCCCATCTGATTTTCTTCGTGGCTACCACATGACCTGTAGTTTCGTATCTTCCCTGATATAACTCCATAGGTACTTTCTCCAATTTTTCCCTGTTTTGTATATAATATTCCATGGCTATTCGATAGGTGTGGTAGATTCCAGCTTATTATTCTGCGGTGGGTGGCGGTGGCAGGGCTGGGGAGTTTGGGAGAGTGGTGAAGACAGAAGTGGCTACTACCTTGTCTGTGTCGCTCTTTCCTAAACCCCTGAAACCCTGAGTCCATTGAGATCATTGTATTTTTCTTTTTTTTGTTGTGTTAATATGGTGAATTACATTGATAGATATTTGAATGTCATTGCATTTGTGAGATAAGCCCCACTCAGTCATCACATATAAATTGCTTTTGAAAATACTTGATGAATACTTGTCTCTCTCCTATTGTTTCAGGCACATTTGCATTCCACGCATGTGAGCCTGGCCAAGAGATGCTGCTCCCCATCAGCTGCTGCATGGGATCACAGCAGCCCTGTAACAGAAACCCCCCATAGATTCTATTACTCAGGGTTCTCTTTGCCCGCTGCTGATAACAACTGTGGCTCTCCATGCCAGAGTTTGGCAAAAAGAAAAAAGAACTATTTATATTTATTCAAAAGTTATACAGGTTCAGAATAATGGCAGAATGTCACCGTTAAGTCCCAAAGTCCCTTTAAAACACCCACAAGCAGACACACACAGTCCCGCCTCCTCTTGCCAAACCAGGCCAGTCATGGGTAGTGTATCTCAGGAAAAGAAAATAGAAGTCTGTAGCTCGGCTAGGCTCCTGTTCTTAATCCAAAACTGCATGGCACTTCCGCATGGCGGGCCAGTGGGAGTCCTTCTGCATTATTTCAAACCACATGGCCAAGACCCTGCACTGCTGCTCCATGGCCAAGAGGCTTCTCCTTCCCCAGCCACATAGTCAAGACAGTGAGAGAGACAGAGAGAGAGAGCCTTTCATGGCTCTTCTACTCTCCTTCCCACATGATCCAGAGCTCTAGCATGGCTAAGCGAGAGCTCCCTTTCTGCTGCCAAACCACATGGTTAAGCCTCCAGTATGGCTGCCATGCTTAGGTTTAAATCCCAGCACTGATCTTCCTCTGTAATCCCATTTCCGACTCCTCCCACACTAGGTTATACTTGCTAGTAGTCTGGTTTCTTCTGCCTTTCTTGGCTGCCATTGTTAGTCTGGGCAAATGTGGCTCCTTGAAGTTGGAGCTGCTTCTACTCCAAGCTGCTCTCACAAGCTCAGGAAGCCCCCTCCGCCTATATCACATCGTGGGTTAGAGTCATGCCCATCTCCCTGGCTCTGAGTAGGCATAGCTTTTAACATTACTAAAACACTGGCCAAATTCTCTACATACGCAAAGTAGCTCTCAGTGGCCCTCCTCCACTTCCCTCACCCCCTAAGCAATAGCGGTGGAGGCTTTGGGATTTGTGAGGATCTCTAGCTCAGGACTCTGTTACAGGCCCTTGGGCCTGAAATGTGCACAGGTAGGTTTTTGTAACCTTCTATGATCCCTGGGAAAAGTGCCCAGACTGAGACATGTGGGAATCTTGATAAATTGTTGACAATTTCCTGCTACCTTGAATCAATATATTTGTTCAAATCAAATGTTTGTTCAGTTTTTATTTGGAGGAGGAGCTGAAAACTGGGACCATGAGTGGGAGGATGGAGAGGAAAGACTGGCTGCTAGAAACCTCAGAGTAGGGGGAATGTGTGAATTATTACCCGAAAATGATAAATATTCACTGTTGAAGGTGTGGCCCTTTTGGGTCTTAGCCACACCTCCAGCATCATCTTACAGTATTCCTTAAACCACACACTCTACTTTTGCAGAGAAGTTTGGAAAATACATTTTTCCTCTGTCTCCTTAAGTTTCCAAAGATACACTAGCTCCCTAGTGATGGTTGGGTGCCCTTTTCCTGATGTATCGGTGCATCAGGCAGCTGTGTGGGAGACCCACCCCTTAATCAGACTCTGGTCTGACTATTTCTTTGTGCTTTGAGCTCAGTAGGAGTTTGATCAGTATTTTTTGAAAGCCCAGTGTCCCCTTCCTTGGGAATTCAAGAAAATGGGTATGAGATGTTATGAAAATTTAATTTTACTCAAGAGCTTTAAGAGCAGGGGAAACCTCTCTTTGCTTGCCTTGGAGGCTAGGATCAGTATGCATATGTTATGAGCAGAGAGGCTGAGGCATGGGATTCTGAAAATGGAACTTTCAGTGGCTGAAATAACAGGAAAGAGTCCAAGTGGCTCCACTGAGTCCCAAACAGCTGCCAACTTCTCAAGGTTAATATGCAGAGAAAGGGCTAGAACCTCCTGGCTTTCTCCTGCACCCAGTCAGCTCCGGATCTAGGAGTCTTTGAAAATAGCTGGTGAGCAGATGAGAGCAATACAGTCTCTGCTTCTCTCCGCAACCCAATTTTTCATTCTCTTCCCCCATCCCTCTTCCATGTAGACTGGGACAATCAGATGACAAAAGAGTTCTACTTTAACACAAGCGCACCCAGGTATTTATAGTAAGGAACTGGTCTGACTGAGCCAGCTGCTAAAAGTAGAAGGTCTGACTTAATCCATTCAGGAAGATTGTGGCCCAATGCATTTAGGGATAAAATAAATCAATTCAGATCTGATATTTAGAAAACATATCCCAGATTGGGATGGTAGACCTCTCCTAAGAAATGCTATAGATTTTTCCAAAGTAGCAGCAAAGTGGGGATGGGCTTTGCAGGCAAAAGACTTAAAATTAGCCTGTACGTCAGAAGATCTTTTAAAGTCTGTTCTAACTTTCCTCCAGGAAAATTGGTCTAAGTCCTCTAAGCTTTGCACTACAGGCATGTCAGTAAAGCTTGCAGAGCCCACAAGGAAGGTTCAGGGCTCTAACTTATGTTTGAGGAATACTGACTCTCTGTCAATTTTATGGCTGATGCTCATTCAATTTTCCCATGTGCATAAGTTCTTTGAATGAATGAACCAATGAGCACATTGTTGAGCACTTTTAATGGGTGCTGTATACCACACTAGGCCCTTCTTGAGCTATTCTATTTAGGCCTCCCCGCAACCCTGGCACATGCTCTCCATTTTACTGATTTACAAACTGAGACTCAGCTAACACTTTCCAAACCCATGCTGCTTATGAATGGAAGGCTAAAATTTGAACTCATGTCTAGAATTGGGGTGGACACCAGTAGTTCTGCAGTCCTGTAGGCATTTTATTCTGGGCTGTGCAATTCTAGGCCTCAAAGAGTATTTTCTTTAAGAAGAAGTCTTTCTTGACTACCCCTCTTTTACTATTTTTTCCTCCTTTGAGTTCAACAACATAATTGTACTGTTCAACTTCATGTCTACTCTATGTTGTCTTACTGTCATCCGTTGTTAGGAATGTGTTAAGTTGCAAGGAGAAAACCTCAACCCATGTGGTGGTTTAAAAAACACGGCTGCAAGTTCTTTATACTCCTCCCACTGAGAGTTGGGGTCTGTGTCACCTCTCCTTGAATCTGGTGACTGCTTCAACCAGCTGTGTAATGCAGAAATGACACTGTATGACTCCAGCCCGAGGCAAGGTCATAAAGAGCCACTCGACCTCTGCTCAGGCCTTTCAGAATGCTTGCTCCTCTAAGGCAGCCATGGCGCTGCAAAAAGCCTGCACTGCATTGAGGGGTTGTCTGCAGAGGAACTCTGGTCAACAGTCAGATCTGAGTCCAGTCTTTGGTCATCCCAGTTCGGGTACGAGACATGAGTGAAGAAACCAGCCTGGAAGTGGATGCTTCGGGCCCCACTGTTCTAGGTCCTCGGTGTTTGTCACTTCCGGCTGTCTGGGTCTCCTGAGTGAAGGCCTTGGGCATCGTGGAGTAGAGACAGCCCGCTCCAGCAGAACCCTGTCTGAGTTCCTGACCTGCAGACTCTGGGAGCTTAATTAAATGACTATGTTATGTCACCGAGTTTCAAAGTAGCTTGTGATGTCGTAAAAGTAACTGGAATGTCCTACTAGCAGTGATTTATAGCACTAGAGTAATAAGAAATTATTTCTACTCTTTCTCTTATAGAGTGTGTATGAGTGTGTGTGTGTGTGCATATATTTAATACAGTGAGCGATCTGGAGGTAGGCTCTTGTTAGCATTAAGTCACTTCTCAACAAAGCCATCAGGGGCCCAGGATCTTTCCATATGTCCACGTCCCCATCCTTAGTACGCTGGCTTTTGTCCTCATGCTTGTTGCTTCACAGTTTTGGCATAAATGCTGTAGCTCTAGGCATTGAATCGGCATTCCAGTTAGGAAGAAGAAAGGAAAGGACAGACAGAGCCATCTATATGGTTTTATTAAGAAAGCAAAAGCTTGCTCAGAAGTTCCCAGGTCTTCACTGTGTCACAACTAGAAT